CGCGCGCGCTCGCCTCACTCTTTCGAATGTACCATTTTAAACTCCATTCCTCCGCTTTATTTTCCCTTTCTTTGGATTTATTTTCTTGTTTTTTTCTTCAACAAGAGTGAGATAGGCGATCGCTCACAGAAAATATATAAAGGGTTTGAGAGATAGAGAGAGATAGAGAGAGAGAGAGGGATCAATTTAGAGGATTTAAAAGAAATGGGGGTTCTCGAAGAGATTAGGGTTTTGAGGCCCCTGCTTCATCTACTGATTCCTCTCTGCTTTCATTGGATGGCGGATGAGATGACGGTAACCGTGCTCGTCGATGTCACCACTGGAGCTCTGTGCCCGGGCGAAAAGTCTTGCCCGGAGGCGATTTATCTCAACGGCATTCAACAGACGGTAACATTATCATTCCCCTGTTCCTCTGTTTATACATTCGATTTGGCATCTCAAGAAGAAGAAAAAAAAATGCACACAGAAGAATTTGGTATTGACCTTTAGGATTGAACCGGAGATATTTAGGTTGATCGCCTCTCTGTCACTGCTAATTTATGTGTTAAACGATTTTAATGAGATTGTTGTAACGGGTTGTGGTTGTATTGATGATTTTGTAGGTCGTAGGAGTTTTTAAAATGGTCGTGCTTCCGATTTTGGGGCAAATGGCTGATGAATATGGGCGTAAATCTTTGCTCCTTGTTACTGTTTCTGCATCCATAGCTCCATTTGGTACGCGTCTTTGACGAAATTAAGTTGATTCTTCGAAGTATTTCTGATGACTGTTGGAGTCTACTATGTTTGAATTTCTGATTTCCATTTGATTTTTTTTTTCATCTTAAGTATTCATTATTCGTATCGCTTTGCATTTTTCAGCTGTACTTGCACTCGGACGGTCTAGAGATTTTGTATACGTGTACTTTGTTTTTCGTACGATTTCACACATCGTTAGTCAGGGAAGCGTGTTCTTGATTTCAGCTGCCTATGTGGTAAGGGGTATTCCTTAATTATTGATGCATAAATTGATAATATGATGTGAGTTTTTCCAAATCCTATTGCTAACTATATAAAATAAATGCGTCACTTGGAGAAATCTATACTCTTGACCCAAATCATACATAAGGAAATGCATGATTAGTCTTGTGCAAACTATTAACATGCAAACCGGATTTTTGAATTTATTCAGTTGCTCTGTTTTTTTATTGAGTAGGCAGATGTAGTGGAGGCAAGCAAAAGGGCTACAGCATTTGGATGGATAACTGGGCTTTTTTCTGTGTCGTATGTGCTAGGAAATTTATCGGCACGATTTCTTCCAGAAAGATGGATTTTTGAGGTATTTTCTTATATCACAATCAAACAATTGTAATTTTTTTTTTAAAAATCAGTGACATTTCTCTAACTGAGAATTTGTTTTTCCAGATATCTGTCAGTTTATTGATTATCTCCGTACTTTACATGAAAATATTTTTGGTGGAGACTGTGGCTAAGGATGAGGGAACAAATAAACATGCTCCATGTTCAGCTATGGTTTGCGGAGTTTTACAGAGGCGATGGAACTCGATGAAGGATACTATTGCTGTGGTCTCTACTAGGTACGCTAAATTGCATAACACACCATATATCAGTAAAGTTATCTGCTGATTCGTTTGTTTTTAAGGAAATTGTCAAACTTATTGGCACTTTCTGATGTGTTGGGATTTTCTTATTTTTCCTGCAGTAGGACACTTAAACGCATATCATTCGTTTTATTCTTCTATAAGTTAGGCATGACAGGCATCAGCAGCGTCTTAATGGTACAAATCTTTCCTTAACTGTACAGCATAATTATTAACTTTATATACCATATGATTCTATCATGTGAAATCTTAGGCCATAAACATTATGAGAGAACCTTATCTTTGACGTATTTTGCAGTACTATCTGAAAGCAGCTTTTGGATTTAACAAAAATCAGTTCTCCGAAATTCGAATGATGGTTGACATTGGTTCCATATTTTCTCAGGTATTATCCTAAAGATTTATTGTTTAGTCACAAATTTGGTTTCCGTTTAAAGTTTCCATTGTCTGAAATATTTTTATCCCTTATCCAAAATTGCTGATTTAGGCTATTTATTCGGCTTGTAGATTCTGTTGCTTCCTCTTATCAATCCGTATATTGGAGAAAGGGGAGTATTAAGCATTGCCTTGATTGCTTCAGTTGCTTATGTAAGTCTTTTTTAAATAACAACTGAGACTGACTTCTCTTGTAGATTTCTGAAACTTGACTTATCTCCTTCAAATCTTTGCTATGCAGGGTTTGCTATATGGTTTAGCTTGGGCACCATGGGTATAGTACTAATCGCCTTCCTACTTTTACATTGATGAAATAGTTGAGAAATTAGGAGTTTATGAAGCTAATGACATTGTCATGTAGGTACCGTATCTCAGTGCGTCGCTCGGTGTTGTATATATTCTTGAGAAACCATCTGTAAGTGTGATTCATTAAATTAATTTTCCACAATGAGAATAGGGCAAGCATTATTATTTAATTAAAATAAAATATAATCCCCCCCCTTTTTTTTCCTGTACTGTATCTAATTTTCCACTGATTAGTTTCTTCACTTTGACAGAGTTATGCTATTATATCAAAGGCAACAATTGCAAATGATCAGGTATAACTCAAATCAAAATTTTCCATAAGAACTGGTGTTAAGAAAGGAAATCCTACTTTTGAGTTTGCATAATTCACATTTATAAAACTCCATATCCGATGCTAGTTTAAACTTTATTAATTTGTTTGTTTCCTCAGTCACTTAAACAAGCATAAGAAGAATGATTGAACTTTTTGCAGGGTAAAGCACAAGGATTTCTTGCAGGGGTGCGATCAATTGCCAGCTTGTTATCGCCTCTTCTAATGAGTCCATTGACCTGTAAGTAAAGGCGTTCTTTATATCTCTCTTGTTTAAATCGAACAATTCGTAGGTCATATGTACTAAATTTTTCGTTCCTCTAAGATGAGAAATAACTGGTAGGTATAATTAAACCATCATTATTGAAAATAGGCATGGTGCTCTAAAGAAAATATCTCAGACAATAGACAAAACTTTGAGCATCACTAAAGATCTAGACATGCCCACATATATTGTTCAATCTAGTTATAAATCGGTCACATATCAGAATTTTACATACTTCTCATATTCTATTTCAGCTCTCTTTATTTCAAGCGAGGCTCCATTTAACTGCAAAGGTTTCAGCCTAGTGGTTGCATCTATCTCCATGGTCAGATTTCTCCTCCTCTCTCTCTGTTTTCACGTACTTGATTATCGCACAGATTGCATCATCTTGTGCTAATTGTGTTCTTCTTTTTTTTCATTTTAATACAGGTGATAGCTCTGGCCTTCGCTTGGCAGTTAGACCCGGATAATGAAACCAAACAGGCCAACTCTGAGAATGTCCCGACGCCAATTGATGAATCTCTTGATGCACCACTTCTGGGTCAGGCTAGTGTTTAGTTCTAATATGAAAGGAGCATCCATGCTAACAGGATATAGGATCATCATCATCATATCAGTGCTCTATGGATAATTTTCACATGTAAATATTGTAATCATGGCACGTACATATGTAAAAAGTTTCTTATAATCTGTATATATGTTTTCTGAAATTCTGATTATGTCGACTCTAAAGTCATTGATTAAATTGAATCTATTTTCAATTAATTTGCTTTCATGTTCCCAAAGTTTCGTTCAGGCAACTGCTCTTTAAAAGTCGACAATCAACTAGAAAAACATGAAGGAAAATTCAATCCTAGGAAGTAACTTTGGCAATATTTTGGGGGTAAAGACCGGAAATATCTGAGGAAGTTTCATGTATGATACCCCCCGTTTGACTATAAATAAGGTTATGGCTAACAATAATATATAGCTCAATCATTGGGAAATTGTTAATAAGAACTAGTTCAGCCCATTGACTAATATCTTTAGATCCCTAAGGTGCAGTTTGTCAAAGGGTTATGTGAGGGGTTAGGGAGACTTAACCCCTTCTTAACCCGCCAAGCACAAAAAATCTATACGGTCCCGTTTGGCAAAGGGTTAATGAAGAGGGGTTAAAGAGAATGATTAATGTACTTAGCCCATTTGATAATGCAAAGGGTTAATGAAGAGGGGTTAAAGAGAATGATTAATGTACTTAGCCCATTTGATAATCCGAATGACTAAATTATTAACCCGTTAAATAAGTTTTATTTTAGCCCTTATGATCAGTTTTAGTGTTTGGGAATAACAATGATTTTGACTATTTTCTTTATAATTAGAAGGCTTAACTCTTATTCTATCTAAATAGGAGTATTAGTAAACCCCTCATTTTGAGGGTTGAACTCATTTTAACCCCTCTAGAGGGGTTAACTTAACCCTTCTATATTTTTTATGTTTGGCAAATTATGGAGGGTTTGTTGGATTTAATCTAATAAATCTATTTGTGGGCACATATGATTTTAATCTATGCAAGACAATAAGGTTTGGGAACTTGTCCCATTGCCAGAAGGTGCAAAACCAATTCGTTCTTAAGGTGAGCCTCGCGTAGAAGATCATCAAAAACCCAAATCAAGTTTTCATCCATGGATTCAGGTATAAGCTTCCGCTCTTTTAGGAAGATCATCAAAAACCCAAATCAAGTTTTCATCCATGGATTCAGGTATAAGCTTCCGCTCTTTTAGATCCTTGTTAATCTCTTTGAATTAATCCATGGCTATATGGTTTTAGATCTAAAGTTTATGATGTAGATCTAACAAGTGGTATCAGAGCCACCTTGACTAATTCTTAGGGATTTAAGTTTTATTGGGTTTTTGATCTTAAATCTCTAGTTAAAGATTCAATTTTTTGGGTTCGGATGAACAGTAATGTTCGGTGAACAGTAACGAAATTTTTTTGTTCGGTTGAACAGTGAAATATTTTTCGGATGAACAGTAACTTTTTGGAATTTTTTTGGCTTTTTCTTTGATTTTTTCTTCAAATTTTTCCGATTCTGGATCTGTTTTGAAAATAAAAATCAAAGTTTTTTTTTTTGGGTTTGACGGCGGCGGTTTCAGTTTGAAACCCTAAGGGTTCATGGCGAAAATTAAGGAGGTGGTTACCTCAAACGAACTTCGCGTTCGTTCAATTTTAACCGAACTTCGCGTTCAAACGAACTTCGCGTTCGTTATCAAGTGAGCCTCGCGCTCAACGAACTTCGCGTTCGTTCTTAAGGTGAGCCTCGCGCTCAGGATTAAGGTGAACCTCGCGTTCAACTCAGGTGAGCGTCAAGCTCAATTTCAACGAACCTCGCGTTCGTTCTAAGGTGAACCTCGCGTTCAACTCAGGTGAGCGTCAAGCTCAATTTTTTACGAACCTCGCGTTCGTTCATTTTCAGCGACTTCAGATGAACCTCGCGTTCGAACTTCAGACGAACCTCGCGTTCGTACTTCAGACGAACCTCGCGTTCGAACTTCAGACGAACCTCGCGTTCGTACTTCAGACGAACCTCGCGTTCGTACTTTAAACGAACCTCGCGTTCGTTCCCAAGATTGAACCTCGCGTTCTTTTATCAAACGAACATCGCGTTCGTTCACTTTCAGTAGAACCTCGCGTTCGTGCTTAAGTGAGTCTCGTACTCAATACAGTTGAACCTCGCGTTCAAAGTTAAGGGAACCTCGTGTTCATTATGGTTAAGCCTCGGCTTTTCATGGGTCCACTTTGGTACACTTATTTTATTCAATTAAGTTATGGGCCCTAATTAAGCTGTGAGACCCCAATTAAGTTTTTGGAAATTCAGTTGATTTAAATTAAATTTTTTAATTTAAATCTATTTCGGTTTTTTAATCAATTATTTAATTCAAATATTATGACACTAAGGTATTAAGGTTGTCTCTCACTCCAATTGATTAATTGAAACAAGAAGTTGCCAAAGTAACCTCTCTTGTGTAGATTGTTCATGAGGAATGTGAGATGTTTGTGTGTATGCTTTCGTGTAAATATTTAATCGGCCCAAAGGAAGGTTAATATTTATTTAGACTGTATACACATCTGCGATGATAAGCGTGTGACAATTATAAGGTTTACATGTGAATAATGAATCGATCCAAAGATAGTTTCATTATTTGACATGAGTTATTGTCAATGTTTGATCATTGCAACAAGGTATCACTTACAAGTTAATATTACTGTCCAAAGACTTGATATTAATGTTGTGCCGGTATCTTGGATGGGGATTGTCATTATTTGAATTTTATTGATTATGGTTATTGATGTGAGCATTTTTGTTTTATTTCAGCTAATGCATCTGCTGCAACTATTTCTGCTAACATCAACTCAATTCCCATGCTAAATGGGACAAACTTCAAGGTTTGGAAAGAGAACATATTAATTGTTCTTGGCTGCATGGATCTTGACTATGCATTAAGAACTGAACAACCCCAACCTCTCAATGCGGATAGCACTCCTGATGCAAAGAAGGAGCATGAGAAGTGGGAGCGTTCAAATCGCATGAGTCTTATGATCATTAAGCGCGGCGTTCCGGAAGCCTTCAGGGGCATAGAATCCGAAGGGATTACTAAGGCTAAAGATTTCCTTGCCGAAATTGAGAAGCGTTTTGCGAAAAACGATAAGGTAGAAACAAGCACGCTTTTAGCTCGCTTGATTTCAATGAAGTATAAGGGCAAAGGAAATATCAGGGAGTACATTATGGAAATGTCTCATATTGCTTCAAAGCTTAAGGCACTTAAACTCGATCTTTGTGACGAGTTATTAGTGCATCTGGTTTTGTTGTCTCTTCCTGCACAGTTTAACCAATTTAAGGTCAGTTATAACTGTCAAAAGGAGAAATGGACTCTAAATGAGCTCATTTCATACTGTGTGCAAGAAGAAGACAGGTTGAAGCAAGATAAGACAGAAAGTGCTCATTTGGCCTATGCCTCTAAGGATAAGGGCAAGAAAAGGAAGAATGATAAGGAAGCTGCTAAGGGTCCAGTTGAGAAGAAACAACATAAGGATAATCAGGGTTGTTTCTTCTGTAAGAAGCCTGGACATGTAAAGAAGGACTGTACAAAATATCACGCCTGGCGTGATAATAAGGGTACGTTCCTTGCTTTGGTCTGTTCTGAGGTTAATTTAGCTTCAGTACCTAGAAACACTTGGTGGTTAGACTCTGGTGCTACTACTCACATAAGTGTTTCTATGCAGGGTTGCCTGAGCTACCGAAAGCCAAGTGATGTTGAAAGACACATCTTTGTGGGCGACGGACAATCGGTAGATGTGGAAGCAATTGGGCACTTTAGGTTGTTGTTAGGAACTGGTTATTATTTGGATTTAAAAGATACTTTTGTAGTACCGTCTTTTAGACGGAATTTGGTTTCTGTTTCTGTATTGGACAAATCAGGTTATTCTTGTTCATTTGGAAACAGTCAATTCAGTTTATCTTTTAATTCAAATGTTGTGGGAACCGGTTACTTGAGTATTTATGACAACCTATATTTGCTTGATACAATTGCTTCTTACAATGAATCCTTGCATGTGGAATCACGTGGTACTAAGCGTAAATTAAATAAGGAAAATTCGGCGACATTATGGCATAAGCGCTTAGGTCATATCTCAAAAGGTAGAGTTGAGCGTCTTGTGTCTGATGGCATTTTGGATTCCCTTGATTTTTCGGACTTCGACGTATGTGTTGAATGTATCAAGGGAAAACAGACCAAAGTGAAGAGATTAGGTGCCAACAGATCTTCGGATGTCTTAGAATTGATACATACGGATATTTGTGGGCCATTCCCTACGGAATCCTGGAATGGTCAACAATATTTTATATCATTCATAGACGATTACTCACGTTATGGGCACCTATATCTTATTCATGAAAAATCTGAGTCTCTGGACATGTTCAAAGCCTATAAAGCTGAAGTTGAGAATCAACTCAACAGAAGAATTAAAACCGTCAGATCTGATCGTGGTGGTGAGTACTACGGTAGATATGATGGTTCAGGTGAACAACGTCCAGGACCATTTGCTAGATACCTAGAGGAATGCGGTATCGTCCCACAGTACACTATGCCGGGTTCACCTAGCATGAATGGTGTAGCTGAAAGACGAAACAGGACTCTTAAGGATATGGTAAGAAGTATGATTGCTCATTCTTCTTTACCAGAGTCACTCTGGGGAGAAGCACTTAAGACAGCAGCTTACATTCTGAATAGAGTACCAAGTAAAGCAGTTGCTAAAACACCTTATGAGCTTTGGACTGGTCGAAAGCCCAGTTTAAAGCATTTACATATTTGGGGATGTCCAGCTGAGGCAAGGCCTTATAGGCCAAATGAAAAGAAATTGGACTCCAAAACAGTTAGCAGCTACTTTATTGGGTACCCTGATCGCTCTAGGGGCTATAAGTTTTATGATCCCACTATAAGGAATATTTTTGAGACGGGAACAGCAACATTCTTTGAGGATGTTGAGTTTGGGGGGAGAAATAAGGTTAGAGACATTAGTTTTGAGGAGGAATTGGCTTCAGATCCAATCCATACAGTTACTTTTGACAATATTCAGGTTCCTATACCTGTTGTTGCTCAAGAAGTAAATCCGGAACCTCAAGATGATAATGTTGAACAACTCCCTGTTCCAGAAGAACAAACTCAACAACCTCAAGAACCAG